TTGATACTAGCCATTCTGATAGATGTGAAATGAGATCTTGTGGTTTTGATTTGCATTTCCTGGACGATTAGTGATGTTGAGTATCTTTTAATGTGTCTGTTGGCCTCTCGTATGTCTTCTTTAGAAAGAGGTCTATGCAGGTCTTCTGCCTATTTTTTAACCAGATTATTTGATTTGTTGGTGTTAGTAGAAGTTCTTCATATATTTTGGATATAAACCCCTTATCAGATATATCCTTTGCAGATATCCTCTCCCACTCACAAGGTTGCCTTTGGTTTTATTAATGGTTTCCTTTGCTGTGTAAAAGCTCTTTGTTTTGGTGTAGTCCCAGTAGTTTAATTTTTGCTTTTGTTCCCTATGCCTGAGGAGACCTGTGCATAAATAAGTTGGTAGGGGTATTGTCCAAGAGGTCGGACTGCCTATGTTTTCTTCCAGGAGTTTTGTGATTTCAGGTCTCACATTTAGGTCTTTAATCCACTTTCTGTTTATTTTTGTGTATGGTGTAAGAAAGTGGTCCAGCACCATTTATTGAAGATACTCTTTTCCCCATTGTACATTCTTGCCTCCTTTGTGATAAGTTAATTGACCATATAAATGTGGGTTCATTTCTGGGCTCTCTGTTCTATTCCATTGATTTGTCTGTTTTTTGCCAATACCATAATGTCTTAATTACTTTAACTTTGTAATGTAGTTTGAAATCAGGAAGCATGTTGCCTCCAGCTTTGTCTTTGTCAGGATTGCTTTGGCTATGTGGGTTTTTGTTGTTCCGTACAAATTTTAGGATTGTTTGTTGTAGTTCTATGAAGGGGATTGGAATTTTGATATGGATTGCATTGAACATGTAGATTGCTTTGGGTAGTATGGGGATTTTAACAATATTCTTCCAGTCCATGAGCATGGAATATCTTTCCATTCATTTTTGTTGTCTTCAGTTTCTTTCTTTAGAATCTTACAGTGGTCAGTGTATAGGGCTTTCACCTTGGTTAAATTTATTTTTAGGTATTTTATTCTTTTTGATGCAATTGTAGATGGGATGGTTTTCTTAATTTCTCTGATAATTCACTGTTAAATTATAGCTCTTGTCTAGATAACTCTTAGACTGTTGTCAAATGAGTATGACACAAGTGTGTATCTGCATTGGGACCTCCTCTTGCCCTTTTTAACCCTCCCCCACCCACCCACATACTTAATTTTTTGCCCTCATTAATTTACTCAACAGATATTTTATTTGGCTTCCATTATGAGTCAGTTATTGTTTGTTCTAGACACTTGCTTTACTTCAGTGAACAAAACAGACAAAAGTCCCTGTTGGAGGATGCAGGAAGTAAACATAATTAAATAATGTGTTAGAAGGTGATGGTACCATCAAAAATACATAGCAGGAAAAGGGGGATTGGGAAGTTCCAGAGTGGAGGTGGAAATTGGTATTTTAAGTATGGCCATCAGTTTAAGCCTCATTAAGTACATATTCTACTTGAAGGAATTAAAAGAACCAAGTGGATATCTGGAGGAAGAGTATTCTAGGTAGAAAGATCAGCCTTTACAAAGGCTTACATAGGGAGGTACATGTCTGTCATGTTCTAAGAATAACATGGAAGGCAGTGTGTCTGTAGTAGGGTGAGAGCAAGGGAGAGATGGTAGATATGGTTGGAGAGATTATAGGTAGCCAGATTCTTGTAAGGATTGAGTGAAATGGAAGCCATGGGAGGTTTGGAGCAAAAAAGAGATATGGGCTGCTGGGTTGGGATTAAAGTGTAGGGACAGTGCGGAAGCAGGGAAACCAATTAGGAAGCTATTTCAGTAATCCAGTGGCAGATGATCATAGCACAGACCAGGGTGATAACAATGGAAATGGTGAGAAATGGATGGATTCTGAATGCATTTTGAAGATAGAGTTTACAGGATTTGCTAGGGATTGGATGCGAAGGTGAGATGAGGGGAGTGGGGGATAATTTCAAAGGTTTTTGCGTAAGCCCACAGAAGTATGGAGTTATATCAGCTGAAATGGGAAAGAAAAAATAAAGATGTTGAGTAAGCAGTTGGATCCAGGAGTGAGTTCCAAGGGCAAGGTATAGGAAAAGGATGAACCAGTGAGTTTAAGAGAACAACCCAAAAAGTGTGGTGTCCCAGAAGCTAAGCCAAGATCCTTTATCAGAGAGGAGGGAGTAATTAGCTGTGTCAAATGATTAAGTCTGGTGAGGACTGAAAATTTTGGATTAGCTTTACCAATGCCATTGGTGACCTTCACCATCTGTTTCTTTTGAGTGTTGGAGGCAAAAGCCTATGAGGAGTGAGTGAGGAGTATATAAGAGGAGTGAAGAGTGAATATAAGAGAAAATGGGAGAAAAAGAGTGAGAAGACAGTGAGTACAGACAACTCTTAGGAGCATTGCTGCACAGAGGAACAAAGGAACGCAGTGTAGCTAGTAAGGAAAGGGAGTCGAGACCTTTTTTGAAGATGGGAGAAGTAGCCACCTGTTTGCTGATGGCAATAATCCACAGAGATGGGAAATGTGATAGTGAGGGAGAGAAGGACTAATTCAGCTGTTGGAACAATATTCTTGAGTGTACTAGAGAGTATAGGCTTGATGTAGAGGTAGAAAGATTGTATTTGGATAACAGCACGGATAGTTTGGCTATCGTGACAGGCAGAGTGTATGTGGTTATAGGTATTGGTAGGTGGTTTGATACCGTTTTGAGAGTCTAGACGTCTTCATTGCTTCATTTTCCTCAGTAAAGTCGAAAACTTTGTATCACACTTAGACAAATTAACAATAACTGATAATAGCATTTATTACTTATTCAAGTTACTTATTCACCAATAAATACTTACTGAATACTTACTATATACTAGGCATTGTTCTAGATGGTAAATATATAACTGTGAACAAAAGCCCCCATCCCTACAGAACATATATTTTAGTGGATGGAAACAATAAGCATGTATATGTCAGCTTCAATTAATGGTATGAATTAAAATAAAGTAGTATAAGGGGGAAGGGAGGTAGTTCCTTTTTATAGGTTGGTCACAGAAGTTCTTTCTGATGAAGTGATATTTGAGCAGAGATCTGAATTAAATCAGGGAGTGAACCATGAAGGGATCTGGGAGGGACATTTGAAGCAAAAAGGACAGACAGTGCGAAGACCCTAAAGCAAGACTATCTTGCCATATTGAAAACCAGCAAGGGGCCAGTATGACTGCAGCAGAGGGAATGAAGGAGTAAGGGGCAGAAGGTAAGTTCATCGAGGTAGTGGAGAACCTCGATCATATTGGCCTTGCAAATCATTAGAAGGACTTTTTTTATTCTGAAACAGGATGCTGCTATTGGAGGTTTTGAATAAATGAGTGATGTGGTTTGATTTATGTTTTAAAAGGCTCAGTGTGGCTGCTCTAGGGGCAGGGGTGTTACAGGCATTTGTAGAAACAGGGAGACCTCTTACGGGGCTATCACAGTGATCTTGCTGGTAGATGATGGGGATTTGGTGGTAGTACTAGAGATGGTAAAAGTCAGCTTCGGCTATACGTAGAAGAGCTGAAAAGATTTACTGACAGATTAGATGCAGAGTGAGAGAGAAACTAATGCCGAATGTGAAATTTGGGGGGTGTCTTACCCTAGACCAGATTTACTGTTTACTAAAGTGGGCAAGGTGAGGACAGAAAAGGTTTGGAGGACATGGTATCAGGAATTTGGTTTTTGACACATTTCATTTGAGCTACCTACTTGATATTTCCATTCAGTGGCAAGGAGGCAATTTTATATAGGGCAACAAGGGGAGAAGGACTGGGGATATACATTTGGGAGTCATCAGCAGATAGCCTAATACTAAGGGAGTAAAGCATCTAGAGAAGACCTAAGAAGCCTTAAGGGCACTCAGGTAGAAGTCAGGTACCTGCGGAGGGACCAGCCAAAGAAAACAAATACAGTAGTATCCAGTGAGTGGGGAGGAGAGAACGGAGTGTAGGGTCCCAAAAAGCCAAAGAAAAGATTTCAAGTGTTTGCAGGTATATAATGTGAAGACTGATAACTAGCCATTATTTTTGCTGAGTTTTTCCGGATAACTCCCTGAATCTGTCTCCTGTCCATCTCTAAGCTGAAAGTGCCATGAGGTCAGGGATCTCGTGTATGACTTGCAGCTCAGTATTTGTTGAATCTATACTACTGCCACCCTACTCAAGCCCTCATCTCCTTCTCATCTTCCAGTACATTCTCCCTGGCATCCCTCCTGTTGGAACAAATACACCATGCCATCTTTTTCAGCTCCATCTCCTACCACTTCCTATTCATAATTACACCTTAATCCTGTGGAACAATTTATAGTTCTCTCTACAGACTGTATCATTTCATACTCCTATGGCTTTACTCATTCTGTTCTTTCAGCCTAAGATGATCTTCTGCCTTTGTTTGGCTGAAGTCTGGCTTAAAGAATCAGGAAGCTTTTGTTAACGAGTTCACTCAGTCCACAGGTAGTCTCTATCATACACTGTGTACATCTGTCACGGTGCTTATTCTTTATTGAGTTAAATACTGTTTTGTATATCTGTTTACCCTCTGTAGAATATAAGTTTTTTAGAGTCCAGGAGCATATCCTTATTCACCTTCCCCTCTCTCCTGCCTATCGCAGTGCTGTCTTCTTGGTAAGCACTCCATAAATATCAAATGTTAAGGGGAAAAAATGAAGCAGAGGGCATGCAAGTGTGAGCCAAAAGATTGTCTGGATCACTGGACTGACAGGAGAAAGGAATGGTAGTACACAGTAAACTGATTCTAGATTAGGTCAAAAGGCAGACTTTTATAAAGAGATGGTAAAGATGTACCTTTTAATAGATAGATCTGTGCTTTGTATAAAGGAGTATAAATGCCTATGTCAGAATAACAAAAAATAGAAATTATATAGCAGTTTGCAGTTAAGAGTTTGTGATAGCATATATTAGAATGTATGAAGTAGACTATATTACATTAGTGGTTTATCATGTTTAATATTTTCATATTAAATTTTTAGGACATCAATGCAAGCCTGAATAAGGAAAACAATTTCTTCCTCCTAAGCCATGGCATATCAGTTATACAGAAACACCACTTTGGGAAACAGTCTCCAGGAGAGCCTTGATGAGCTCATACAGGTGGGAGATTAAAACCAACTTTTATTTAGAGGAGTCTATAATAAGTTTTGTTAGATCTCTTCTCTCAGGCAGAGAGCTAAGAGGTAAAGTATCTTAGAATCTTTGACCTAGCAAGTCAGTATTTATCCATCCTGACTACAGGGCATAAAATATAATGAAGATCAAATGACATAGTTAACATGCCTAAACATAAAAATTGAGATGATTGGTTTTCTCTTATTTATAAGGCATAGTCTGTGTAGCTTTAAGGTAACTGGACAATTTGATAAAGTCTTTTGAGATTTAAATTTGATTTTATAGTTCAGTTTTAGGAGAAATAACCTTTTAAAATAAAGCTCATCTAAGAACATATTAAGTATTTCCATTTATTTTCATACAGTTGATGAGCTTTGATGAGTTTAGGTTTTTAAAAAAATAGATTACTAGGCCTGCTTTTTTTTTTTTTTTTAAAGACCCTGCATTCTTTCAGTCTATCAAATGCCTCTTTCCAGACACTGTAAAGGAGTAATAGAGTTTTGTCCTGGCAGTGTAACATCACTGCATGTTTCTTTTCAAAATTATGTTTGTGTCAAGACAATGCAAGAAAATATTGTCAGGCTTTACTCCTTGTCAGTATGGCAAAGAAGAAGGGAGTCTAGTTTAAGAGGCTCTCTGTTAACCTCAGTTAAATGTTAGTTGATAATTCATACATATTTTGTCTTTAATGTCCTCTAAGAAGATTTATGACCTTTACTTTTTCTCAGTCTCAACAGATCACCCCCCAACTTGCCCTTCAAGTTCTACTTCAGTTTGATAAAGCTATAAATTCCGCATTGGCGCAGAGGGTCAGGAACAGAGTCAATTTCAGGGTAAGGATATTTTCCTAAATCTAGAAGCTTGCACCAGCGGTTTTTAACAACAGTGCTTTTTAGGACCCCTATATATTTATGAATTCTAATAGGAAGCGATGGTTTAATCAAATTTTGGAGTTTGTTTTATAATTAAATTATACTTTACTTTTAAATGACCTCTATACTAAGTTTATCCACTTAATGTGAGAGAGAATTGTTTTTAGATTTTTATTCCATTGTTTCACAAATCAGCCTATGTATGTTTCGCTGCCTTCCCTGAAGAGTTACTGAGATTTCAAACGCCCAAACCATTACCTGCAGGATTGAAGGTAAGTGACAGAGTAGTCCCTAAAGCTCACTTATGTTTTTCAAACTCTGATGTTGCCTCCCACCTACTCTTATGAAGACCTGAACTGGTGGTAGGTAATGATCTGTTCTGATAGCTTGATCTCATTTGAACAGTAATCCCAAATTGAACAAAAGATGGTAAATTCAAATTAAAGGCCCATTGAAAGTATCATGGTGAATAGAAGTAATTTTACCACATTGATATTGATGGAGTCAGATACATATAATCAAATATCACTGTATGCTGTTATATAATATTTATGCTTATGTTGTTTTAAGGGATACCATAAAGTAGAAATTAAAAGGTTACAGTATATGAAAAGAACATAGAGGTTAATTTGTTTTTAAGAGCATAGTGTTTGGGGGTTTCTTAAAAAAATTTTAAATTTATTTAAAATTTATTCAACAAACATTTTGAGGCCTGTTACAAACCAGGCATTGCTGTGAATATTGGGTTGGCAGAGAACAAATTTAGTTGAAGGGATAAAGTCTGCATGTATGTTATATAATAAGTCTCTTACTAATTTCACATGCTTAAAAGTTATCTGGAGTAAAATGTATCTTTATAAAATTTTATCAATAGATTCTTGAATTTTTAACAGTAACTATTCTGGCAAAGGTAGTTTGCTGTTTTGTATAACTATGTGTGCAAATCTGCCAAGATGCTTTAATTTGAAATTGATCCATGTTGATACCTTATAGTTTTCTAATCATATTCTTGTCGGTTTCCAGTTTGGATCTATTTAGCTAAAGTTAAACATAATTGGACATTTGCATTTCTCTTGCGTAGTGTTTTGTAAGTTTGTCTGTTTTCCAAAAGCTAGAAATAGTTTTTGAGCAGATCTGACTTTACCATTCTTGTTTTTTTCCTTTCCTACTGTTTTAAGCCCAGGCTTTCATTACCTACCTCTCCCATTACAGCAGACTTGATCAATTTTAAGTCCAGAATGTTTGCAAATAACCTGTTTTGTTTGGTGGGACATATTACAAAGGCAGAAGAGATCACACATTAGTAATTTCTGATTTTCAAAGGCATTTTGCTAGATCATATTTAAATCTGTATTGTTTGTAGTAGTTTTTACTGGCCTGACAGCCCATTGAAACTAACATGGTAAATTTTGCTTTAAATCCTCATATGAATTTCATATAACTGAGATCATTTAGTAGAATCTTAAAGGGGAAAAAAATCTGCTTGAGTATGAGAATTAGGATTTTAATAATTTCTGTGTTAAAATTTATTAGCAAAAAAAGTCAAAATATATGTTTACCGAGAACCTTGAACTAATTTTTAGGGAAAACATTCATATTGAACTAGTCGCTTAAAGAGTCAGCGTACGCTTTTGATAGAATGTATGCTGGCAGGTAAGAGTAATAGTTACTTAATGTTAAAATACTAAACTTCAGATAGTAATTAAGGAAGCATTAAAAGATTTAATGGTCAAGAAAAATCACCCTTCTGAATTCCCTATTCCATTTCTACAATTAACATGCATTAAAATATTTTAACTGCAAGAATGTTGCCCAGTTATAGATTAATGTTAAAAAAAAACGTATTTATTAAAGGTGCATTTAAGATAATCAGTTACTTGACCAAAGCCAAATATCATGTTTTAATATTTAAAAAGTTCCCTCCAATACTTTTTTAAATAAAATTTTTGATTCTTGAGATACTAGATTATGACTTTCTCATGAAGACAGCGAAGAAGATATTTAAATAACTAAACATGTTGTAATATTTTATATTTATTAGGGATTCTAGCTCAAGAAACAATTCTAAAGAGAGGGGCGACTCAGTCAGTTAAGCCTCTGCCTTCAGCTCAGGTCATGGTCCTGGGATGAGCCCCGCCTCGGAGCCTGCTCGTCCCTCTTTCTCTTCCTCTCCCCCGCCCCCACCGTGCTCGTTCAAATTAAAAAAGAAAAAAATTTTTTTTTTAAAGATTTATTTATTTATTTTGAGAGAGTGAGAATGAGAGAGAGAGAGAGTACATGAGAGGGGGGAGGGTCAGAGGGAGAAGCAGGCCCCTCGCTGAGCAGGGAGCCCGATGTGGGACTCAATCCCGGGACTCCAGGATCATGACCTGAGCCGAAGGCAGACGCTTAACCGACTGAGCCACCCAGGCGCCCCAAAAAAGAAAAAAATTCTTAAAAGATTATATCATCATCTAATTTCTTGTGTTCACATTTTATTAAGCTTTTGTTGGCTCAAAAGTTATCTAGCCAATGAGCTCTCTTAATTATGTTGTCTGTTTTAATCTAAATATTAGAAAGCATTTAATATAGCAATAAGTGAAACATACTTATATAACTAACAGAATTTCAACATATATTTGGAAGTGAATGTTCCCACACTAAGCCTAAATCTCAATGATTATTGGCATAGCTATCACTAATTGGATATGACAATAACATTACACACAAGTTTAGGGATCCTAGAAATGAACATTAAAATTGGCATTTGGCGGGTGCCTGGGTGGCTCAGTTGGTTAAGCGACTGCCTTCGGCTCAGGTCATGATCCTGGAGTCCCAGGATCGAGTCCCGCATCAGGCTCCCTGCTCAGCAGGGAGTCTGCTTCTCCCTCTGACCCTCTTCCCTCTCGTGCTCTATCTCTCATTCTCTCTCTCTCAAATAAATAAATAAATAAAATCTTAAAAAAAAAAAAAATTGGCATTTGGCTGTGTAGCCTTCCAAAGGCTCAGACTGTAGCTAATGAGATCTGTTTTTTTTAATAATTCTGTTAACCCAACATGTCTTATGTGGTTTTCCATGCATTAATCTTAACCACTCCACTGAAACTTTCTTGCCATATTATTGCTAAACCTAATGCATAATTTGTGACATTATTGATTAGTCTCTGTTGAAACCCATACTTCCCTTGAAACCATACTATCCTAGCTTCCTTTCTCTGACCCCTCTCTTTCTCAGACCCTTTGTAGTTTAATTGTTGGTATTCCTTAGGTTTAGCTAGGGATCCACATATTCTCCTTGAATGAATGAATCCAACCCTGTGGCTCTTAAAGTCAATAGGCCTATGCTCCTGGGCTTTCTTCCACACACCAGCTGCTTTTATTGCACATGGTGATTTAGATCTCAAACTCAACAAGTTTCAAATTTATCAAACTGGCTTTTCCTATGATTGCACTGTTATTGGAGCCAGAATCTTGAGAGAGAACAAATTTTGTCTCCCCACCATAGCCAGTTGGTTGTCAAGTCCTATCAGGAAATTTTTTTTTTTTTTTTTTTTTAAGATTTTACTTATTTTAGAGAGAGTGGGAGAGGAGCAGAGGGAGAGGGACAAGCAGACCCCACACCCAGCCTGGAGCCAGACACAGGGCTGAATCCCACGACCCTGAGATGATGACCTGAGCAGAAATCAAGAGTCAGACGCTCAACCAGCTGTGCCCCTCTCTGCGCTTCTATAGACCTCTTCGCTGCTATAGTAAAGCCACTCTCACCTCACATTCAGCCCCCCCCACACCCATCAGTTCTTCATGTTATCATGAGAAGTGCAAATCTGTTACTACTCTGCTCAAAATCCTTCATTTGACCTAAGACATTTAGGATACAGCAAAAGCTTTCTAAGGTTCTCCAGGATCTCCTTCCCCTTGGGACCTCCTGACACAGTTGACTTTTACTCATTTTTCAAAACTCAAACTTCAGTTTGTGAGAGAAGCCTTCTGTGCCCCATACCCTTGGGTGCCCCTAGCTTATTACTCTTTCATAATACTGCTATTGTTTTAATGCTCTCCTTTAAGCTTGTTGATGACAGGAATCATATTTAGTATCCTTAGAGCCTAGCATAGTCCAACAAATAGTAATTACTCATATTTTTAAAATTGTGTTAAGTCATTCATAGCATCATAGTTTCCCTGATCATTCTCACTTGATAGAACATTTAGATAGACTGTAGTTTTTACTATTATGGGTAACACTGCAGAGAATGTTTTTCTGAATTGAAGGTTTAGGGCATACAAATCTCTTAGCAAACACTAAATTTCATTTGTGAAGATTCCATGTGTATGTATGTCTCAAGTTTTGATTGTATTCAGTTGGTGTCTATCCTTGCACTTTCACCCCATTCTTCAAAAATTTCCTTTTAATGTTTAAGCAATTATCCCTGCTCCTAAAAAAAGAAAACAAAATAACTTTATCAGTTACACAGGACAGTAATATTGTAGTTTCTGTGGCTAATACAGTAATTCATCTGAGGGAAGCACAGCGTTAAAATTGAATGTTTCTGGGTAGTCCCTGCTTCTGTACAAGTTCGGAGAGTTAACACATACAATAAAATGCAGTTGACCCTTGAACAACATGGGTTTGAACTGCATGGATCCACTTATATACAGATTTTCTCAATAAATAGAGTCCTGTAAAAGGTATTTTCTCATGATTTTCTTAACTTTTTTTTGTACCTTTATTGTAAAAATACAGAATATAATGCATAGAATGTTACAAAATGTGTTAATTGACTGTTAACGGTGTAACATTACACACAATAGCCTATTCGTTAAATTTGGGTGGAATCAAAAGTTGTGTGTGGATTTTCTTAGAGAGGTGAACTTTTATCATGTTCCCACAAGAGGGCAGTAGAAGTACAAATTCAAATTTCCTTTCAACTTTTCTTCGCCTTTCAGGTAAGTAATTTGCAGACTCTTAACAGTGCTGAAAGTAGTCTGCTAACTACAGTATATAACTCTTAGTAAATTCATCTAGGGTGTTTTTTTAAGTGATAGAATGAAAATTAAAGCAAATCTTAAGGTAAACATTAAATAGTCCTACTGTTTAAAGAATTAGGTAGTTGGTAGCTGAGTTCTCAAATTGCTTTGGGGAAAAAAATGACTTCATGGTATGTCTAAATGTTTTGTTTTAAAGGGCTCTCTAAATACATACAGATTCTGTGATAACGTGTGGACTTTTGTATTGAATGATGTTGAATTCAGAGAAGTGACAGAACTTATTAAAGTGGATAAAGTGAAAATTGTAGCCTGTGATGGTAAAAGTAAGTGTTTACCTAATTACTGTGAAAGCAAAGCTACTTGAAATCTTGTTTTTGTGAGTCTTTAGAAAATCTTGGTCTGAAATTATGGGGGGGAAATGGCTTCCATCTCAGCTGGGTTCAGAATTCCAGATCTCAATTCTCAAACAGTCCTCTTAATGACTTTAGGTGTGAACATTTCACAGGACACATAGACTGCTTCCACAGATTGAATTTGTGTGAGTTAAAAATAAGCAAGTTAAGGGATCTTTTCCCCTATGTCACTTGCAAATTTGAAGTGTTTAATTTTGAAATTTATCCTAGTTTCTGTGTTGCTGGATGCCTATACATTTTATATTTTTAAAGTAATCATTTAAAAGATTTTAAAATAACCATAAGAACCTCATCAGGTATAATGGTAAATATCCATTCCTGATCTATTACATCTGTGCAGATATTTGTTTAAGTCAAATGTTTCAAAAACTATACATCTTTCTCTTCCATGATTAGTTATTTCCTTTTTGCTAATTACATTTTAAATATATTTTTACTTTATGATCTGAACCATTTGTGTCTAAACAGCTGTTCCTAAAATTAAATAGAGAAGACTATTACTAAGAAGGGGAGTTTTGAAAAGCAAAAGAAAATGTAGAAATACCCTAAATTTCTCAGATTATTTGGTTTTATGTATTTTGGGTTTCAAAAGAAATAGCTAATCAATGAAAAAATTTAAAGAGGACAGAAAAGCACACAGAAGAAAAGCATAATTTGTAACACCATCTGGAGATAAAAATCACTTAATATTTTATAACTTTCTAGTCTTATCTGTTTTTACAGTGATATACATGTGTACACATTTGCAAATACATCATTTTTCATGGCTGTATAAAATTATACTTTTGGCCTTTTTTTTTTTTTTTAAGAACTAGTCTCTTCCGGAGATCAGAAAGTCTCCAAAATTAGCAACACTTCAATGACTTGTACTTTTCAGAAGGTTAGCTAGGAGTAATCATTCTAAGAACTTAAAGCAAAGATGACTTTTTAATATAGTTATCAAATACTTTGTTTCCTTGCTATAATGACAGAAAAGATCTATGTAATTTTATAGTTCTGGATTACAAGATGATAACATTTCTGCATGTCAGATAATGTAATCTTGTTTCATATTTTTCTTATAATTTAGGCTGATAGCATCTTCATAACCCTGAGATTTTTTACTAGACTGTGGAATTCGGGCATTAATTCATAACATCTGTATCTATCAAAGCAAGTTAATGATGTAGACCAGTACTGTTCAGTAAAACTTGTACCTATGGAAATGTTCTCTGTACTTTCCGGTAGCCACATATGGCTCTTAAGCATTTGAAATGTGTTAGGGCAACTAAGAAATTTAATGTCTTATTTTTTATTTAATTTTATCAGTTAGCTAAATAACCACACGTAGCTAGCCAGTGGCTACCATGTTGGACAGCAGATACTCTTGCCTGAAGATGCAAGATTGTTTTTTTCAAAATTCAGGAGATGAAAAGTAGCAAATCAGCCTTACCTATTGCCATAGCTTCTGAGAAGTTTGCCCTGCTTCCCGCACATAGTATTAACTGATCTCGAAGAAAAAACTGTTGAGTATTCAAGAGAAGCTTCGATTGTGTTCCATGTATTCTGTCAGCAGAAAAGAATACAATCTTAGAATGTTTTCTTTTCAAAATTAAAATATAAAAAGTTTGGCATTTAAAAGTAGAAGTTTAAGTAACTGAGAAACTTCCATTCCTTAGTGACCAGATAAATGGAGTGCTACTATGTAATAAGCCCATTTTCTCTAAAAGTCAGCTTTCTGAAATAGGAAGAGTGATAGTGGCTAGAATTTTGGTCTGTATCTCACCAGGAATTAAAATAACAATTTTCTTCAGATTATATATGTTATGGTCCTTTGTGGTTTAAAATTTGGGGACAGTAGAGGACCTAAGGGAAGAAATGGTCATGTAGTAGCTCTAACCAGTATAACTTACATAATGAACCCAGTAATACAATTTGGTTTTTCAATAACATAAATATGGAGAGCTAAGAATTACCTTCTCACCTGTGCCTTGAAAGGTATTTAAGTTCTCAGGGCAGTTCCTTGATCAGCCTTCTCTTCTTCCCCATCCTTCACACCAACACCACCATTAGTTCCTGTTTTAGTTTTTAAAAATATTCTCAAAATACTTAAATTTTAAGTTGCTTCTTGAATTTACTCTTTCTCTCTGTTTCCTAGATACTGGCTCCAATACTACAGAATGAATTGAAAAAAAAATGGCTTTTTTAATGCCATCTTCTGTTATTATTCATCGCTTTTTTGAAGAGAAGCATAGAAGAGACTTTTTTTTTTTATTTATTCTGGCATCGCAGAAATGACTACACTGTGTTATATATACTATCAGAATTCCAATAGAAAGAAGCTTATAACTCTAGCCTCTTACATTACCTTTTCGGCATGAAGAAACAGAAGTTTTTTTTAATAACAAACATTGTTGCCTTCCTAAGAACATTCTTGAATAAACTCATTTTAAAACTCAGTGTGAGTAATAAGTGGTAGAGCTATTAAGCTAGCAATATGAAGAAATTAGATAAGCATGTTGAAAGCGCACCATCTTCCTTACAAAGGAAATTAGGAAATGCATTCTTTTCAGTGAAGGGAAATTAGTTTCATCAGGGCAAAACCAAAATCTGGATTGGGATATGTCTTTTTTAAAAATATAAAACCAATCATTGGTGTGAAAGACCTAAGTACAACCCATTAGGAAAAGTTAGACAGTCTTTACACACAGCTTCCATAACCAACACAAAACTAAAAAAAACCTAGCAACATAAAATAGTCTCCACATGACATGTAAATAATTTCTTAAGCTGGCCCTATTGGTCATATTTCATACATTTTAAAACTATCTACATCTTAACAGTTACTAGACTGCCAATAAAAAGTCCTACTGAATATATACCATATCTTTGTGTACTTGAAGGAAAAAAGTTTTCCTTGTCAGTCTAGGTAATATCTAATGAAGAACGTGGCTTTTCTAACATATCGGGCACTGGGTAGTTAAGTCACCGAAATTCAACAGCTGACTATAGAGGAGTCAAGACCAACTATTTTTAATAAGGATCTGACACTGTTTATCATTTAGTGAGGGTAGGCTCTTGACAGTCCCATCCTGTGGTCACCTGCAATTAGTGTGCCAAAGCTACAATGGGATGAAAAATTTCCTTTTTCTCTATCTGAAAGATAATGCTGCTGAGAGATAATAGAGTTGTCAGTAATCTTTAGCAAAATAGCTTTTTATAAACCTATTAAAATGTTAAATAGGTCTTTGTATTACACATAGTCCCCGTTTTTGCATTTGTAGAAGCACATTATATAACAAGTGTCATTTTTAAGCAACCAGTGCTCAAGTCTGATCGATTTAGCAGCACAGACTTTGTAAAATAATAGCAAGCATAACTGACTATTATGAGTGAGACCAAGTGCTATATGTGTTACATAGATTCTCCTGGATGATCTTAACCTCAGGAGACCTTTGTTCCCTTTTTACAAATTAAGAAACAAACTCAACCTCTCTGTATTAACAAAGTGTACATAACTAGGACTTTTCTTAATTGTACGAAACCTTTTTACTTTGGAGGTTCAACATAATGGTTAGGGGACAAGTATGTTGATAGTTAACAGTAGTTGTAGAAATTTCTGGTTCTTAAAGAGTAAGTCATGATTTAAACTTTTTTTTTTTTTTTTTTTGCTTGTAGTAGTCACTGAGCTCTTACAGAAGGAAGAATAGGGCTGGAGTTGTATACTTGTCTGGGAATTTAAAATCCTGTAAAGCCTATCAATAGATTGTGTTTCCAAGAAATGCAGAAGCATTTCTGCTCCCTGGGTGAGTGGCTTGTTGTAAGACATGGTTGGCTGGCCTGACCTACTAACTGGAGTAATACTGACTTATGTCATGCTCTGGGTGCTTCTGTAGTATTTCCTCAGCATGTTAGTGTAATCCTTGCCTCTCACGTTAATTATCTTTGCAGCCCATTCTAGTAATTGACTCCAGGGTTCTCTCCTAGCCTTCCCTACCACCCAGCACATAATCTGCTCCAGTCAAATTTGGTTATGTTGTTTCCTCCATATCTCATGGCTTTCCTTTTAAAAATCAACATTCTACCCAGCCTTCGAAACTTAAACCCAGTTTTGTCTCTGCGTGTAACTAATACTGATGTCCTCTTACAAAGGAGTCCTTTAAATACATGAAAGACACAAGAGATTGGAAGAACGTGGTCCGTTTCACTACTCACTCAGGTGCTCAATTCAGGTAACTTCATTAGAACTTCATTCCATCAGCTGAAGTCTGTTCTTGTACTTAGGTTAGTCACCATATACACCTTTCGCCTGGGCAAGGAGTGCAGTAATCCTAGCTCACCTTTCCTCCTGTCAGTCTCATTACTCGCATAGCTGACCCTTAATTGCAGTAGGTGTTCTAATGGTCCCATAGTGGTACTCACACTTTACTGGAATTACAAAAGCGTCTCAGCAAGAACTCACTCCACTTTGTGCTTTCCCAACCAGCCACAGGCTCCAATGATAGTAAGTTTACTTGCCTGTTAATGCAGAAGAAGAAAAAATCCATTAGTTTTTCTGTTAGGACTAAGTAAAAGCTGGGCTTTTGTGATAATGTAGAATCAGTCCACTGTAGATGCATTACTAATGCTACTTTAACACCCAAGTAGTAGGCAAAGAGTACCTTCTGAGTTTATTGGATTGGTCATTGTTTGGCTTGTTTATTTTGATCTATCTTCAGCTAATTTTGAAAAAGAAAAGTGAATAGTTTCTCTCTTGGTAGACATCAATTACTATGTGAAGGTAGGTTGCCTTCAGTTTTGAGTGGGTCATAATTAGATTCCTACTAATAGTGAAATTTTGAAAGTTTATATACATGTGTTATATGTATATTTCTCAATTGGAGAAGCCATTATTTGTAGCCTTGTTATGAAATTCGGACTCAATAAAATAGAGCACAGAGTAAGGGAAAGTGGAAGGTAGAGTTAACATGAGAATGAGAGCAGATTACCAGAGGTCTTGAAAGCTGGGCAGGGAAATTCTTAGAGCCTTTATTGGTCTTTGGGGAGGGGAGACACATGAAACAAAGCTGAAATAATGCAGGAAAGATAGGAGAGTATCTATGCAGGAGTTAAAATTTGGCCTAGAGAAATAATTGTGGGAATTCAAGACCTCCAGAACAGGGAAATTTCACTAAAAAAAAAGTCAATGGAGCTGGGAGTTCAGGGTGTTAACAAATATATAGACATCTGTCCGGACCTGCTGGCCACGATATGATGAGGTTCACAGATCAGAGACTTCAAAGTTGATGGAACCTCAAAGATGAACCAATGAATCCAGCCTCATTCAGTGCACTAGAAAATTAAGGTCTAGAGGGGGTCCACTTCTCCAAGCCCAAAAAGCCAGTCAGGAGAGCTGAGTGTAAAACCCCAAAAGCTGTAAAACTAGAGTGCATGAAAATACAAGCTGTCCTTCACAGCATTGCTTATTATTTAAACATCTTTACATAAGTCCTTGCTGATGGATAAAGAAGATGTGGGATGTATATACAATGGAATACTATGCAGCCATAAAAAAAAACCCAAGTCTTGCCATTTGCAACGACACGGATGGAACTAGAGGGTATTATGCGAAGCGAAATAAGAGAAAGACAATTACCGTACAATTTCACTCTTGTGGAATTTCAGAAACAAAACAGGATCATAGGGGAAGGGAAGGAAAAATAAAAAGACGAAATCAAGGGCTCCTGGGTGGCTCAGTCAGTTAAACATCTGCCTTTGGCTCGGGTCATGATCCTGGAGTCCTGGAATCAAGCCCCACATTGGGCTCCCTGCTCAGCGGGGAGTCTGCTTCTCCCTCTGACCCTATCCCCTCTTGTGCTCATTCTCTCTCAAATTTTTAAAAATAAAATACTAAAAGAAAAAGGTGAAATCAGAGAGGGAGATAAACCATAAGAGATTCTTAATCATAGGAAACAAACAGGGTTGCTGGAGGGGGGATGACATAACTGGGTAATGGACATTAAGGAGGGCATGGGATGTAATGAGCACTGGGTATAAGACTGATGAGTCACTGAACTCTGCCTCTGAAACTAATAATACACTATATGTTAATTGAATTTAAATTTTAAAAATTTTAAGTTTTTAAAAAGTCCTTGCTGCTACTCACATAGGAGCATATTACATGGAATTATCCAAGTGAGAACTCAAAATCTGTGCTTGCTACTAAATATTTTTGAATCAAATTATATGATGCCTGGCACTTCAAAAACAAATGAGGGAAGTGATGGGTGGGGGGGATATTAATAAAATTAACCATGCAATGATAGCTGTTAAAATTTAGTAATAAACAATGGGATTCATTATACTCATCTATTTGAGTATATGTTAGAAAATTTCTTAAAGGATTTTTTCCCCTAAAGTCAATGCTTGTAATGTGTAGCATTTGGCCTAAGATATTTAGGGCTTGTTTTTTACCCTTATTTTCTGTGTCCACTTTTTCTTACTATCATGGCATATGGAGCCTTCCAGGACCCTCCAGTAAATTTTAAAGCCTTTGTTTTGTCAATCCATTCTAAAAATGCCCTCTAATGTGGTGAAAATTCACCCAGCTATTTTTTTATTATTTTTTTTACATGCTGTGATAGTAATAGGATCTTAATTTCCTAGTACATAGATAGGATTTGCATGGGGTTTGGGACAAGGCATTTCACTTTATAATAGGTACAGGAATGTGGCAACATGCAGCAAAGAATTTAATGCAATTAGCTCAAGAGCACTATGCAGAAAGCCTCAACAGTATTGAGTGTCCCAACTGTTATTTTCTGATTCTGTGAACCTCTTAAAGTTCTATTCCAGGAGAAATTGGCTTCAAAATTGGTTCTTTTGCCACTGGGCAGAGATTGGAGATTATTTTTTCCACTTCTGGAAATACATGGGCAAGTACCAAACCTTTGCCTAAGTTAAGGGACTGGACACACACGCTCTATGCTTTCTTCCCTGTGATTTTATTCATTCTGTTTTCCAAGATGAAGTACCACAAAACACCCCAAATAGCCAAAGCAATCTTCAGAACAAAGCTAGAGGCACTATGTTCCCTAATTTCAAGCTATATTGCCAAAGCTATAGTAATCAAAACAGTATGGTATTGAAATAAAAACACACACACATGGATCAGAATAGAGAGCCCAGAAATAAACCCACGCAAATAGTTTAATTTATGACCAAAGAGCCAAGAATATACGCATGGAGAAAGGAGAGTCTTTTTTTTTTACATTACATCATTAGTTTTTGATGCAGTGTTCCATGATTCATTGTTTGTTTGTGCATAACACCCAGTGCTCCAGGCAGAACGTGCCCTCTTCAATACCCATCACCAGGCTAACCCAACCCCCCACCCCCCCTCCCCTCTAGAACCCTCAGTTTGTTTTTCAGAGTCCATCGTCTCTAATGGTTCGTCTCCCCCTCTGACTTACTCCCCTTC